TTTCATAGTTGGCATGGTAAGATTGGTATCATCCACGATGGACAGTTCAGATTCATTTCCTCCTTTAGGTGCAATTGGACAGATGAGATCGATTGTGATAAATGTCCCAGATCAATGCGAGATGGTTATAAATACTTCACATCACAGGGGAATCTAAACTCTAGCCGCCAGCCCCCACCGGAGAAGAAGAACAAGATGCTGGAGAAAGAGGCCGACCGCCAACTATCGCCGCACTGGAGTCACTGCTGATCGCCAAAAAAAGGTAAAAATTTCTCATACCCACTCGAAATTTGATTCCAAGTACCCTTGTGATCAAATCGGAGCAAGAGGGATGTCGGGTGAGACAGAAATCGCAGGTAAAGTCTGGCAGAGTCGCTGCGCCTAAAATCCCAAAATTCCTTCGATGAGCCCATTCTCGATTTCCGTTTCACGTAATTTTTTTGATCATGGTGTTCACCGTCTTTTTCTGTACATGGTAGCCGAAGGAAAAATCTTAGCTGCAAAGGAGGATAGCAGAGCTGCCGCACCCAGAGGTCCCCACGCGTGTAGATTTAGTTTCTTTGTGATTTTCCTACCAACCGAGACCCCTAACATATTTTTCTGTAGGGATACAGCCAAAACTGTCCAAAATCGGTCAGACCGAGTCGAATCGCCATAGTGGGCGGCGGAGCCGGCTCCACCGTCCTTGAACCCCAAAATTGTTCTGAATGAGTTTTGGACACCGATTTTGAATTTTTTGGGGTATTTTTAGGTATGTAACTAGTGTTTTGAATTCTACATGAAAAATTTAGAGAACCCGTTAGGAGGCGTAGTAGATAACTCGATATCTCAAAACACTGATTCGGTTAAGGATCTCTTATCCTATTCTCTGTTACAGTAAATTGAGCCTTAATGATGTATAATTTTGTGTTTTTGTAAAAAAATTAAAAAAATTTAAAAATAATTACAGGTTACTAGTGGAACTGGAACTAGTTAGCTCACAATTATCTTAATTTCCTGTTTATTTTTCTGTACTGTCCTGCTTGCTTGATTTTTGTATAGTACATATTTTTAATTTATAGTTTAATAGTCTTATCAACTTATCTGGTTATTTTGGTTATATACCGTCAACATGAATGTAGTTTAATTGATATGTGAAAGTAATATGAGATATTAGTATGAGTTTGTTAGTTGTTTGTCATTAAAATTTGTATGTGAAAGACTTGCTGGTTACCCAGGGAAAGGGCTTACGGGCCCGGTATATAGAAAACCCTACCGTGAATGTTACCTCAATAGGACGGGGTTGGAAAGTCCCTTACCAAAAATGTTTGAGAGATATAGTTCACCTTCATACCAGACAGGGTATTGAGGCGATGGAATGTTTGACACTCATTACTGAACAGAGTATGGAGATGGCCGGTTAATTGTAAATTTAGATATTGGGTTCACAAATAAGGGGACACCCCTATGAACCCCTAGGGGTACCAGTAAGGAGGTAAGAAAGAAAAGCTATTGTTTTTCGTTATCTTATACGTGAAAGTGAAATGTGATATGGATATGGGTCTTCATAGGTTGTTTTTAGAAAACTCATTATAGTAAGTATTAAATAACTGTCTTCAAGTTCTAAATATATTTAAATAAAATAAGGATACCATTAGTTATTTTTCTGATTTTTTTTACCAATTTTCAGTTTTTCATATATGTGATTAGTGTGATATTTTTACTGAAGTAGTGTAAATCACCATTTCATTAACTATTTCAGATCAAGAGGATCAAGATTTAGATCCCGATCAACAAGACGGTTGTGAATAGTTCACTATCCGGACTTCCTTCAAGTGCTAGTAAAGGTTATCTTAGGATGCTTAGTTATTCACTTTTCATTTTATTTTGTTAATTTCCGTTTGTCTTTTGGAAGAGACATTCTCGTTGCCCTATTGGGCATCAAAATTATTGTATAAGGAATATAAACCCTAATTCTATTAATTGCTTTTACATTTAATTTATGAATTTATTTGCCTTTAAGTTCCGGCTCTTTATAGTTGATATTAGAGCCGCATTCCTTGAAACCATTTCTTGCACAAAGACTTAAAAACACCAAATACAAACTATCACTCAACTTTTCCTTATGAAATGTAGGTACAAGAAAATGAATTGAGGTAGACCCCCACTAAATCGAGCAGCCCGGGATGGTTCACTTTGAGAGAATGTTAACCGATTCTTTGAGATGCTAAAGATATTCATCTCTGCTTAGCAAGCCCGGGAGGAAATGAGGGAACTACCAGACTCTCCCTTGCTACCACAATTTGAGTACCCTTACAGCTGGAAAATTCAGAGCCACTCCGATACAACCTTGCTCCTCCATCATACCATTCGACACCACTATAGTACATCTGATGCCTCTATTGCATCATCCAATACCACTACAGTACAACTCGGTGCCTCCACTATATCATTCGGTACCGCCATAGAGCCACTCGATCCATTCCCAGCACAATCCAGTTCCTCTTCTACGGGACCCAGTTCCACTCATGATGGATCCAGACTACATTAAAAGGTACAAAAGACTAAACTCATATACCTTTGCAGGTGCATCCTCTTTGGAAGAGGTCGAATATTGGTTAACTGAGACAAAGAAGGCCTTTGCGACTCCTGGGGTGATTTCTAAACAGAATGTTGTACTTACCACCTACATGCTTGTGGGAGAGGCAAGTCGTTGGTTGCAGCTCAAGCAGACCACCCTGCCCGATCTAGTCACTTAGGAATAGTTCTTGATGGTCTTCAATGTAGAGTACCTCCAAGAGCACTTCTGACATTTGAAGGAGATGAAGTTTACATACCTAGTGCATGGTGAAATGACTGTGTCAAAGTATACTCGAAGGTTCATAAAGTTGGGCCAATATTCTTTTGAGAGTATGATGAATGAGTGGAGGAAGGCAAGGAAGTTCGAGTGGGGCCTCTGCCCTAAGATCAGATAGTAGCTATACGTATTTGAGCTTAGTACCTACTCAGTCATTCTGGCCAAGGCACAACTAGTGGAGAGTAACCTTCACATATTTTATCTAGCAGTGGAGAATCCCATACCCCCAGTTTCACACCACAGACCAGCATCCACTGCACCAATTTAACAGAACAAGAGATCTAGGCTAGTGACTCAGGCTCTGGTAATAAGACGCAGTAGGACTTGCCAGCACTGTGGTAAGGATCATAGGGACCGACCATGCTATCATCTCAATAATACTTGTTGCATATGTGGGAGTACCCAACATTACGGGAGAGAGTGCCCGCAGAATCAGAACCAGGTTAGACCTCCTATTCAGGGTAGAGCTTATAACCTAACTAAGTAGGATGCTGAAGCTAACCCGGATGTGGTGTAGGGTACGTACACTATCTGTAATCACATTGCATATGTTTTGATTGATATTGATGGTTTACATTTATTTGTCTCACACGCTTTTATGCAAAACTTACATATATCACCTGAAAGACTTGATTTTATGTTGTTTGTATCTATTTTTGGAATTAGGACACTACTAGGGAATGTAATATATAAAGCTTGTATCATAAACATAGCAGGTAGAAATTTGAGTTGGACCTGATAGAGATTGATACGGGAGACTTTGATGTAATCTTGGGAATGAACTGGTTAACAGTGTACTGCACTACCGTAGATTGGTTTCACAAGAAACTTGTATTCAACCCTCATAACGAAGAGTCATTTACAAGTTAATAAAAATTTTAAATATTATTTTCACATGGTAATTTCCTCATTATATAGTGTTTTAATTCTGTTGTCTTCTTTACATTAGGCAAACCTAAAAAATAAGTTTGCATTCAAGAGATCCCGATAGTTCGAGACTTTCTGGATGTATTACCAGATGAACTACCTGGACTGCCAGTAGACAGTGAAGTTGAGTTCACTATAGATCTTCAATCTAGCATTCAACCTATCTCTGTTGTCTCTTACCACATGAGTTGTGTTGAGATGGAAGAACTGAAAAAATAGATTAATGAATTCCAAGACAGTGGGTTCATCCGACATAGCATATCTTTTTGAGGTACTGAAGTCACATTTATAAGAAAAAGGGATGAGACATTACAATTGTATATTGACTACAAAAGATTGAATCGAGTTACGATAAAGAACAAGTATCCCATTCCTGGAATTGATGACCTTTTTGACCAGTTGCAGGGTATCTAGATCTTCTCCAAAATATATTTGCGTTCGGATTACCACGAAGTAAAGATTAGGACAGAAGACATTCCCAAGATAGCTTTTAGAACTAGGTACAAATATTATGAGTTTCTAGTCA